TTATTTAGTCTTAATTAATTTTTGATTTGATTCTAATTTTTTTTAATGTCTTAGTGTTTGCACTATAGTTAATTAGATGACTAATATGATAAATATCAATGTTAATTTGGGGGAAACATCCGTGTTATTTTTACGAATTGGGCTATGTTTTGAAAACAGTTAAAGGACTGAGATGTTAAAAGGTCCATTATAGAACTGAACAGCGGATGTTGAAGGTTTAACCGTTGAAGAATCTCCCTTTGATCTCAAAAAAACATCTCCAAACAGGTCTTCAGGTCTTTGACAGGTCATGCATTGAGTGTGACCATTTGTGACAATATGCATAACGTCTGATGGTCTGTTTTATTTTGAATGTACCAAAAATGTGGAAAGAAATTCGTTAGATTTTATTATACGCCCGTCAGAACGTAGCTTCGTGTCCGTCCGTCTGTCCGTTAGTCTGTCTGTTAGCTTTTTCATTTCCAGCTCATAACTTTAATACTATTAGGCCTAGAATTATCAAACTTTGTCATCTGATGCGTCTTGGATAGAAGGTGTGTCGCGCACAAAAAGTAGGTCGCACCTTTAATTAAGAAGTTATAGTTTGCCCATAACTAGAAAACTGTTAGACTCAGAGTCATCAAACTTGGCCAGTTTATGCAGAGGTGTGTCGCGGCTATTTAAAGGTCACTGTGACCTTTAATTTAAGTGAATTTTTTTTAAAAACTAAGTCTTTAAAATTTTAAATTTCATAATCCTAAAAAATGTAAAAATATAGTTGTATCCTTGTTTAAAAATGTTAAATCAAGTAAAAACTTATTTTTTCATTATATGCTTTACAGCAATCTGTAACAAATGTTAATGTTTTGAGAGGAATTCAGTTTGTCCCATGGGCATAATTATCAAGCACTGGTCAAGAAGAATTTTGATAGCAGAAATAGAGAGAAATTAATGAGTTTATTGTCAGGAGCTAAGTGGTAGAGCAGATCTCTGAAAATGCATCTGTTATCTTTAATATTTTGGGAGTTGGGCAAAAAGAAATGGCTTCATAGTTGCTAGTGTTAATTAAGAGTTCTTGATGGCTAGTTCAGAAAAAGGTCTTTCAATTGGTGTAATGTAATTAAAACAAATTGATGCTTTAAAATACAGTGTATGATAAAAACTAATTTAATATTGTATAATATAATTAAAACTAATCCTTATTAAAAAATATTAAATTAAGTAAAAACTTATTTTTTCATCATATACTTTAACAGCGATCTGTAACAAATGTTAATGTTTTGAGAGGAGGAATTCAGTTTGTCCCATGGGCATAATTATCAAGCACTGGTCAAGAAGAATTTTGATAGCAGAAATTTGCATGTCAAATTAGAGAGAAATTAATGAGTTTATTGTCAGGAGCTAACTGGTAGTCTAAAGCCCTATTTACACGATCTGATTTGTAAGATGTGACTTGCCACATCTTACAAATCATACTGTGTAAATAGGAAAATCATAAGACAGATATGAAGTCAGATGGAGTCAGATGGAATAGAAACATGCTCTATTCCATCTGGCAAGTCAGATGGTTTTAACCAATCATTGACAAGGTCAAAGAGGTTGATCTATATAAAGAAGAACTAACGTAATATGAATTTTTCCCGCACTTCTTCTCCAAAGATAATTCAATATCAATTAATCTTATTTATTGCAATTAAATCTTGAGAGGACATTTTCTATTGGCTGGACAGAAGAGAGAACTATAATTAACTACAGAACAAAATGAAAGATTAGAAAAAGTAGATTTATTAAAACACAAATATGACTATCAAACTATCAAACTATCATCATTCTCCATTGTGAAATGTAAACAAAAAAATTTTGAAATATTAATGAACTTCATGTCTGACAAATCATACAAATTGATGTTTAATGTATGATTAAAAACTAAATTAGTATTGTATAATATAATGAAAACTAATTAAACATGTGTTCATTGAAATAAAATTACCGGGGTACATTTCAATTTTTATATATTTGCAACAAATTGCAGTCACCATGCCTCACTTAGAATTTTATAGTCTAAAGAATAATTTATTTTTGATTTTTTAGGTCACCTGAGTAAACTCAGGTGACCTATTGCTATCCGTTTTCGTCCGTCGTCGTCCGTCGTCCGTCGTGTGTCGTGTGTCGTGTGTCGTGTGTTAACATTTGAACATTTTCAGCTTCTTCTCTGCAACCACTGAACCAATTTCAACCAAATTTGGCACAAAGCATCTATGGGTGAAGGGGCGAAAATTGTGAATTTATGATTCTGGGGCCTGAGGGGTGGGGCCAAAACCACTAAAATTAATGCAATCTTTAAAAATCTTCTTCTTTACTCCTGGACATCAAGCAGTCAAACTATTTGCATGATTGTAATCAGCATTGAGTCCTCTACCAAAATTGTGAAATTCATGGCCCTGGGGTCAGGGGTTCTAGTGCTAGGGCGGGGCTAAATAAGTATATAGTGAAAATGCATTATTTCTTTGAAAATCTTCTTCTCTGCTCCTGGGTATTAAATAAACCAACTAAGTACATAGTTATGATGAGCAAGAGTGCCTCTACCAAAATTGTGAATTTTATGGCCCCAGGGTCAGGGGTTCTGGTGTTAGGGTGGGGCTCTATTGATTATATAGTAAAAATACATGATTTCTTTGAAAATCTTCTTCTCTGCCCCTGGGTATTAAATAAACCAAGTAAGTAAATAATTATGATGAGCAAGAGTGCCTCTACCAAAATTGTGAATTTTATGGCCCCAGGGTCAAGGGTTCTGGTGTTGGGGGGGGGGGCTCTATTGATTATATAGTGAAATTACATGAATTCTTTGAAAATCTTCTTCTCTGCTCCTAGGTATTAAATAAACTAACTAAGTGCATAGTTATGATGAGCAAGAGTGTCTCTACAAAAATTGTGAATTTTATGGCCCCAGCATCAATGGTTATGGTGTGTGGGGGGGGGGACTTTATTGTTTATAAAGTGAAAATACATGAATTCTTTGAAAATCTTCTTCTCTGCTCCTAGGTATTAAATAAACTAACTAAGTACATAGTTATGATAAGCAAGTGTTCCTCAACCAAGATTGTGAATTTTATGGCCCCAGGGTCAAGGGTTCTGGTGTGTGTGTGTGGGGGGGGGGGGCTCTATTGATTATATAGTGAAAATATGTGAATTCCTTGAAAATCTTCTTCTCTGCTCCTAGGTATTATATAAACTAACTAAGTGCATAGTTATGATGAGCAAGTTTGCCTCAACCAAAATTGTGAATTTAATGGCCCTATCATCAAGGGTTCTGGTGTTGGGGGGGGGGGGGGGCTCTATTGATTATATAGTGAAATTACATGAATTCTTTGAAAATCTTCTTCTCTGCTCCTAGGTATTAAATAAATCAACTAAGTGCATAGTGATGATGAGCAAGAGTGCCTCAACCAAAATTGTGAATTTTATGGCCCCAGGGTCAAGGGTTATGGTGTTGGGGGGGCTCTATTGATCATATGGTGAAAATACATGAATTCTTTGAAAATCTTCTTCTCTGCTCCTAGGTATTAAATAAACTAACTAAGTGCATAGTTATGATGAGCAAGAGTGCCTATACAAAAATTGTGAATTTTATGGCCCCAGCGTCAATGGTTCTTGATTATATAGTGAAAATACATGAATTCTTTGAAAATCTTCTTCTCTGCTCCTAGGTATTAAATAAACTAAGTAAGTGCATAGTTATGATGAGCAAGAATGCCTCTTCTAAAATTTTGAATTTCATTGCCCCAGGGTCTGGGGTTCTGGTGTTAGGGTGGGGCTCTATTGATTATATAGTGAAAATACATTGTACATTAAATCTTTGAAAATTTTCTTCTCTGTCTCTGGGTATGAAGCAGATGAACTACCTATATAGTTATGATGAACAAGGGCCCTAATCTTGCAGAATTGTGAATTTCAAGGCCCCAGGGTCAGGGGTGGGGGGGGGCTCTACTTATATACTGAAAATGAATTAATTGTTTGAAATCTGGTCCTTTGTATTTATAAAACATTTATTTACTTTTTGATAGGCAATTTTAAGGGTGCCTTTTAAAAATTTGTGCAACCTAGGGTCAGGGGTTTATGTGAGAGTGTTAGGGGCACTACTGATTATTGATTAATATTACTGATTAGTTGGAGTGCATTTTTGTTCCCCTACCCTGCTTATGGTTATTCAGTAACCAAGCTAAGCAACTGCTAAGTTTATTGTTATGATGATCAATGGTGCCCTTTCAAAATTGTGAATGCCATATAGCATCTGGCTTAAAACATGAATCAAATTCAATACACTGTAACTGGAAAGTTGTTGCATAATGCTCAGGTGACCTATAAGGCCCGTGGGCCTCTTGTTTTATTAGACTGTAGCATTTCCATTATTCCATTAAATATGCAATAAACAATTTAAGCTGCAGATGGATATTTGTTAAGTTCTAACACAGCCAGTTTAGAATTATATGATGTATTATTTGTTATAATTAATCCCTACACTGTAAGTCTCTTAGAGATGTATGTACAATATATTTTAAACATGATAAGAAATGGAAATTAGATCATTGAAATCTGTGTTAATCTGTTAATCAAGGTTATCTGATTTTCTTGCACCTTAACCAATTTATGATTATTGAACAATATATTTGACGGGCGTATCATGCTGTGGCGGGGCACTTTATTCTACATTAAATGAGAGCGAACGGACCCTGTGCGAACAAGTTTTAGGGCGAGCGGATGATCTACTCTTGGCGAACGGGAAATTGGGCGTACGGGAAATCGGGCGAACAATTTTTAGGGCGAACGAACATGGAACCTACATATGCCAACATGCCAACAACGATGTTCTCAAAACAATTTTGTTGAACACATGGAATAGGGTTGTCTGTACAGAAGATTCATGATGGATCTGTTTTGTTCAATAGTTTTTGCCTACTATAAATCGAAATTTATCTAGCTCTGTATAAAACTTTTTTTTTCATATCTTCCTTTGCAGTTCTTCAAAAGTATTAACTTTAGCTAAAGGTCTTTCACCATACACCAATACGTACCTGAGACTTGGTGGAACCACTGCCGATTTTTGTACCTTCACATTATCAGATGTCAATAATCATTTTAATGTCACGAAGAAGCATGGGAGAAAATGGGAGAGGCAGGATCTATTATATGAATTCCTCAGGAATAAACACAAAAATCTAACCGAGTTCTATATGACAGGTGGGTATATGTTGATATTACATAATCACAAAGTGACCTCTGTATCAGATATTTTATGAATCTATATGACAGTAAAGTTTTATTCCACCTGAGCTTTTTTGATTGAAAGGTGTCAGAGGTCTGTCTGTTCATCTGTCTGTAAACCTCTCACATTTTCAATGCCTTCTCCAGGATCACCAGGCCAATTTCAACCAAACTTGTCACAGAGTATCCTAAGATGAAGGTGACGAAGTTTGTTCAGCTGCAGAGCTACAAGATATAATTGAGAACTCATGAGAATTTGTTAGAATGTTTTTACATTCTTCTCAAGAGCCACCACTGGATTAGAGAAGATGAAACTTATGTGAGAACTTTATAAAATAATGTAGAATCAAGTTTGTTTAAATCAGGACCCCTAGGGTAGAACGGGGCTGCATTAGGGAATTAAAGTTTTGCATAGGAACATACATGTATAATATTATAGATGGACTCTATTATTAGTACATATAATTAAAATCTTCTCAAGAACAACCAAACCATATGAATCATTTAATGGAAACCCTTCTCAGGTAGTGTAGATTCTAGTTAACTTAGGGAAAACTTTTATTGATGAAGTACAGTAGGGTCTTGGTGACGCAGGTGAGTTATTTTTATTTTACGCCCGTCTTCAGAATTGTTTCAGCATTTATTACCAATCATCATATGATTTGTTCATTACAGCTAGAATGTGGGATGAAATCCATGAATTTGTGCAGAAGGCCAGCTTGGATCTAATTTTTGACCTCAATGTTCTTTTACGAACAAAAGATGACCAATGGAACAGCTCAAATGCAGAACTATTGCTGAAGTACACACAGTCCAGGGGCTATAGAATGGCAGGCTGGGAACTGGGAAATGGTAATCAAATGATTAACTAGGCTTAGATCACTTTCAGAAACAGTCTAGAAATGTAGGAGAAGAATATCTATAATTTGGGAACTCATTTCAAATCTTAGTGTCACATTGACATTGACAATCAAATATGTTTAAAAAACAGAGTCCCTTCAATAAAATTTCTTGCTGAATGTTAAAAAAAGGGAACATTTTAAAGAGGATACAGTAATATTTGCACACTTGATAAAAACATTATTTTTATGTCAAGATATAAACTCGAAATTCATACAGAGAAAATTTACATTTAGCATTTTTGTGGCAATTCAACAATATCGTAAGAAACTCAATAGAAATGAAACATGATATCTTTAACACTGAATGATTTTATCTTTTCAAAGTGAAACACATTTAATTTATTCCAGAGCCCAATAGTTTTCACCATTTGAATTCATCAATAAATGTAACAGCAGAGAGTCTAGGACAAGCTTATTTTCAGCTTTCACAAATGTTGGCCAAATTTCCCCAAATTCAAGGAAGAATTTTCACTGGTCCAAGCACGACACAACTGAACAAAGATCCCACAGTACGTTATTTTACAGAGTAAGTCAACTGTTTCATCATATTGTAGTCACTGTGGTACAGACTGTACTATTCTGTCAACCTGATTTATGCAGATAATCTGCTGGGGGCCCTCATTTGAACAAATTTTAATGTATTGAAGCTTTAATTAAATAAAGTTTTATCTTTTTTTACCAAGTAATTCACGAGAATAAGATTTTGAAAAGATTTCATTTCACTAATATTCTTAATATTTCCCCATAAAAGAGGGTGTTCCCCTTCATGTGAACAAAAATGAATTTCCTTCATCAAAGGATGATTTTTGGTAAGTTGGTTAAAATTGGCTTAGTGGTTCTAGAGAAGTATTAAAAAATGTTAAAGGTTTACAGACAATACATGACAGACAGATGCAGGACATTTTTTGATCAGAGAAGCTCACCTGAGTCATCAACTTGGGTGAGCGTATAAAAGGTGTTATCAAAAACAATACTGTACCGTTAAATTGTACTTTACATCCCATGGATGAATTTATAATTACATGTATCATTTTCTTGACAGAAAACTTAAATAAGTTGTTAAATTTTTGTAGATTCCTGAAAACACCAGGAGGAGGAACGGTGACCTCTCCAAACTTCCATCAGTAAGTATAGACAGTCAAATCTTGTTATCTTGAATGCACCTCAAGATATCCATGGATTTCAACATATCTGACTAAATACACTATTCTGACAGACACTAAAATTGCCAAAGTTTCTTAATTATGTTGTTGAAAATACATGTTTACAGTATTTTCAATCTCACATCACTTAAGCTATGAAGTTTCAACTGCTCAACTATAACCCTTCGTAGTCAGTGACACTGTATTACAAAAAGACAATAAAAAGAAAATTCAATGATTTGTAGTGGAATATGGAATTTAATTATTTTGATCATGAGACAGAATTTTTTGAATATGTTGAATGCACTGTCAATTTGTGATATCAATGTCACTGTGAAATTATGTCAATCATTCAACTTGACAATAAAATTGTGCTCAGTGACAATGCTTATTTGAAGCAGGTTAAAAAATCCTAAGTAAGCTAAAATAGTGTTATATAAGGGAATGTTTTAGGACTTGGATAAAAAAAAAATTAGGGGTATTCTAGAAATTATATGAGATTTTTTTTCTAAGGAATAAGGTTTTAACTTAAAATTTTTTTTAATATGATAATTGTTAAATATTAGAGATCTTTTAATAGATAAAATAATTGTGCTTTTTGAAGCTATACCATAACACTTTATCAGTAAAATTCTACACTTTACAAGCTTTTATATTAAACATGCTCTATTTACAGATACTATGTCAATGGAAGAACTGCTACAGTGAATGATTTCACAAACTCTGAAATCCTGGACAGTTTTCAGGAGGAGTTGAAAACTGGGAACAAGATCATCCAGGGAATGGGGGACAAAAGGAAACTGTGGCTGGGGGAGACGAGCTCGGCTTATGGAGGGGGAGCCGAGGGGCTCTCAGACGCATTTGTGGCTGCTTTCATGTATGTATAGAATACACCACATATGTTGTGAATTGAAGGTAGTATTTGTAGACTATTGCTTAACAAAATGCATATACAATCAGTAGAACTTGATTAAAGTGTAGTCTTGAGAACTGGTAACTCTTGACTTGGCTATATCTGAAATTCAAAATAATTCTGTATAACTTCTTTGTTAGATTGAGTATACCAAATTAACAAAAAACGTTGTTCTTTTAGTTTGACCTCTGAACATTTAGGAAAAATATTACAAAATTTATGCAAATTGAGAACTGTTTTCTGATACTTTCAAAAAAACTGAGTCAGTTCAAAAACTTAGATTTGAAATCTGAAAAAACTTACAATTCTGATTCTTTTGAAAAATAAAGTCAGTTCAAAATCTTACATTTTGAGATCTTTAAATAAATTGTTACCTTCATCACTGCTATTCCCAATAGGTGGCTGGACAAGCTGGGTATGGCAGCTAAAAACAGCGTGGACGTCGTCCTGAGACAGAGCTTCTATGGTGGTAAATACGCCCTGTTAGACGCCACAACAACAGACCCCAATCCTGTAAGACTAAAACAAATTTTATTCAAAATATTGTTAATACGTGCAATTAGGGTATTTTTAAAAAAAATTTCTGATGAAATAATTTATTTCTGTGTAGGATTACTGGTTGACTGTACTGTACAAACAATTGGTTGGAAACAAAGTCCTTAATATAACATCCTCTCCAAGTTCCCGGGATGTGAGATTTTATGCCCACTGTTCTTCAGAAAGGTCATTATCTGAATAAAGTTCACAATATTAAAGTTGTTAACTGTCTAACACTTGCCAAACACAAAAAGACAGTAGAAAAGCACCGACTGTACAATCACAGAAATTAACACAAATTTTCAAAAATATATCAGAACAGTAGCATTTTTGTATGACAAATTTCTAAAACTAATGCATGTTGCTCACCACAGAGCTACAAGTATGCTGTCCCTTTCAGGTTTCCACTAGGCTCTGTAACATTATATGGTATGAATCTACTTTCTGATGGAGTAAATGTGACATTTCCTCAGCTTGATGGACAGTTAAAAATTTATCTCCTGACTGCTCCAAACCAAGACCTGAAGTCCAGGTATTTTGTATTCTGACAGTATATTCATTTGCTATAGTATAATGTTTTTCCTCCTTAAATAATTTAATTCTGGTTGTAATGCTGTATTTGATTGGATAAAAAATTTACTTTATATCGTATAAAATGGGTTGCCTACATCACAATGACTTTCTTCAAAAACGTATCAATCCGCCCGACGTTACATTCAAATTTTCTTACATCAAATGAATGAAAATTAAATTATAAGCAATGAATTTAATAGCTACCCATTTTATACGGTATAAACTGGGTTGGGGCAGTTTAAGCTTTATAAACCGCAAAGCGTAAACTGTTCCAACCCAGTTTATACCGTATAAAATGGGTAGCCATTAAATTCATTCCTTAATTAAATTTTTTGTACAGGTCATTCCAAAATAATTTTTTTCTTGGGATAATTTTGACAAAATAATTCATATCAGGTTATACCACAGTAAGCCTGTCTTGCTAAAAACAGTTTTTGATCATTTTCCTGATTTTCCTTCACAACATTCGATCTGATGATGCAGTTTACATCATTGACATTTTGATTTGATGTAAAAATAAGTTCAATCTTGTGAAAGAGTTGTAATAAATATTTTCATAAAAATAGAACTACAAAATATAAGTTAAAGATTTTCAATATTAAAATTTATCCAATGCAAAATGTATTGTGTACTGGACATTTAGTGTGAAAAGAACTCCATTTCGCTGTATTTTTACCATATTTTCCTTGGACTTTATTTTTTTGCATTTGACAAACAGGGGTATTATATTTTCTGTTAAGATTTGTGAATTTGAATGGCATTACCTTGGAGATGACCTCTGACACCAGTTTGCCCCAGTTGACCCCGAGAATAGGCACCAGTCCTGTCTACCTGCCTCCTTTCTCCTATATTTTTATTGTGGCTGATGAAAAGACTTACAGTAAAGAGTGCATCCATTGACAGGAAAACATAATGGAGAACTGGGCATATATCCTGATGGCAAAATAATGCTTCAAAGATTGGTGCATAATAATAATAAATAAGACCTGCTTGTGCAATATACTTTTATATTTTTTTGATATGTTTTTTATTGAATTTTTTGATATTAAACACAGTCACATTTAATATTGTGTTGTTAACATCTTGATTTTGTATAGATTACGTACACATCAATTTGACTGTTTAATGTCTAACTTTTAGAATCTCAATAAAGCGAGGCCAAGTCTAATTATTTCTATACTAGAGATTTTGATAAATTTTCTTGAATTAATTTTTCTTATAAATTTATTGTTTTAAGATTAAAAATGGAATGTTTACCATCCTGATTTCTTAGAGGCCATCTCAAAAGTTCAGATTTTACTACTGGAACCTATGGGAATATTTTGCATTGGAAAAGTGCCAAATTTTCACTTTTTTTCAGTATTTTTTTGTATTTCTGCCTTAGAAATTCCTTTTTCAGCCAAGTATATGAAAGTTATTTAAAAACTTTATCTGTATTGTAGATGAAAAAAAATACTTGCATCAAGCCTTTAACATTGTTTATGGTAGACTTGAAGTTTATATTATATGAATCTGTATGTTTTTTTCTGAACAACTTCATCATCAATCCCTAGGTAATAGAGGCTAACATTCCTCAAACAAATGTTAACCATGAAGAGAGTTGGACCAAATATGGGATAAAGTTCTAATACAGTGTAGACAATCACATGGAAAATATTCAAATATATCTTCTCAAGAAATGTAGTGCAACAGTATAACATATATTTAAACATAGTGCAAAATCATTTTTTTTTTCAAATCCAAGGCATTTTACATTTAGTTACATTCAATTTTGAGCTGGTGCAGTGGTTACTCATATTCATGACTTTTGTATAAAATGTTAGATTCTTCTGTTAGATTGAAGGAAATTAACAAATAGATTTTAAGACTGGATACAACTTGCTTCCCTAGTTTTTAATGTTAATAAAATTAATAGAGTTGTCTCCGTCACTTTAATGGAAGAAAGTATTTTTTCCATAGCTGATCTTAAATAAAATTGCTAAATGTTAAATGATACAAAACAAAAAAAAACACCCACTGAATCTGTACACACATTCCTTGGAATTAATGTAAAAAGGATGCTGGAATTCCTATTTACCAATATCTAAGAACATGTAGTCTGTTCTTCCTATCATCTGTTGAAATTCTGATGGGCAGTAATTGTGTTTTATTATAGGCTGACCATTTCAAACAGAATTTTTCGTTGAAGTGTTGAAACTATCAGTTGTTATTCCCAAGTAATTTGGCTTGCAAGAGAATGTTCTGTGCAGTCAATTTTAAACTGAGACACGATAGAGAGTATTCAAGAACCTTGTTTTAAAAGTCCTCAGATCACAACCTTTTGCTATTTTAATGTTCTTCATGGTAATGAAACATATGGAGATAACAATACTTGTCATGATCGGGAAATAATGGAAAAATTAGTCGTCCATTCTGTGTATAAATAATGGACTAACAATTAGTATGAAAAAAGTCAGTCTGCATTTGACTCAATGAAAAATTGTATTTGCTGACAAGGTCATTGTATCGACAATAGAACTTACGAAGTGGTGTTTATCAGCTGTGGATAATTAAAAATTTCAAGGAACTTTCGACAATTTGAAATCACAAGGTTTTACCAAAATCAACAGCTCAAAAACTTATGACTTTTTTAACTTTATACACAACCATTCCCCACAATAGATTAAAATCAAGGCTTTCTAATATCATTGACAGCTGCTTTTTCCAAAAAAATGGAACTCTTTAATTTACTTACCTTGTCATTGGTTATTTGCAAAATTATTTTATTAAAAAAAACATTCTGATTGTACACACAAGTACTCTGAAGTTGACATCAAAAAGATGCTTGAGTTTCTGATTGACAATATCTATCTTGTTTTTGGAGACCAGGTCTTCCAACAATCTATTGGAATTCCCATGGGTATAATTGCACCCTGTTATTAGCAGACCTATTTTTGTATTCATATGAAGAAGAATTTGTGCAAAATCTTATGCATTTAAAGAAGAAAACACATGCTGTGGCCTTCAACTCGACATTTAGATATCGACGACGTATTGTGACAATAGTAATATCCATTCTTACAATTCTGTATGTCGATATGATATATCCTGCTGAGCTTGAGGTAAAAGGTACCTCAGAGTCTGACAAATTTGTTTTATATTTGGATATTTTACTTGAGAAAGACGTTAATGGTAATCTAACAACCAAGCTCTTTGATAAACGTGAAGACTTTAATTTTTCTAGTGTCAAATTTCCTTACTTATGCAGCAATATACCTTCATCACCTGCATAAGGAGTTTATATATCTCAGTTGATTCGATATGCAAGAGCATGCTCTACGTATGAACAATGTCTAAAATGAGGTAAATTATTGACAAACAAGTTGATGAAACAAGAATTTCAACAGTCTCGTTTAAAGTCATCATTTCTTAAGTTCTATGGTCAATACAATGACCTTGTCATCAAATAAAATTTATCATTGAGTCAAATGCTGACTGAAGTTTTTCATACTAATTGTTAGTCCATTTTTTATACACTGAATTGACGACGAATTTTTCCGTTATTTCCCGATCATGAAAAGGAGCACACGGCGGGTGAGACCGGTTGGGCAGGGGATGCTCACTCTGTGGCATCTGATCCCACCTCTGATGTTTTGGAGATCCGTGTTTGCTCTGCTCCTTTTTTGTATTGTTTTATGGACTTCTGATCTTGAATACTGTTTGTTATTTCTGTAAGTTTACAGAAATTTAGATTTGCCGTATGAAAAATTGGAGATAAGTGAATTCAGATAACTAACAGTTTTCAAGCTCATAGCCCATATGAAATTGAAAGTAGAGCAAACATGGACCTCAAAAATCATCAGAGACTGGATTAGGTGCCATATGGAGGTGTAAGCATCCCCTGCAGCCTGGTCACATCCACCGTATGCTGCTTGTCATGATTGTTTAAACAGAAAATTTCAAATAAATTTCAGTGTATAAATCATGACCTAACAATGAGTATGAAAAATGTAAGTCAGTATTGACCTAACGATACATTGTATTTGTTGATATTGCACTATCAGCAGATATTGATAAGGCCATTGTTCCGACCCTAGAACTTGCGAAATGAGGAATTCAAACAAGACTGTTGTTATCATTGTTTCATCTTGTTGGTTTGAAGCTTCTCACAGTTAAAAAAAATTGGTCGTGTGTAGAGTATGCTGTTGCGTATCGAAGCAACTGGGAAAATAAACCCCATTTAATTGCTAGTGATAAGCGTAAATTCCTTGAAGTTCGTAATTAAGGGAAGCTCACGATTGAAAAGTCAAAGCCATCAAGATGATCATAAAGTTTTGTTAGGTTATCATTAATTTGTCTTTTCCTGGTAAACTATTCAAATATGAAACAGACGTGTCAGACTCTGTGGTGTCTTTTATTCCAAGATCAGGTGGGTATGATTGGAAGTAACTTTTGTTAATTGATAATACGTCATCGCTACATTTTAATGTCAAGTTGAAATTAGTATTTCCTTTTTTCTATTCAGAACATTTAGAATAAATTCTTCTTCACATGAATACAAAAACAGGTCTATTAATAATCAGGTGCATGGTACCCATAAAAATTTCAACAGATTAAATTGTTGGAAGACCTGATCTTCAAAAACTACATAGATATTGTCCACAGGCACCTGACGTTACTGATTTTTCTTTTAATAAAAAAATACCCATACCTAATAATAAATTTATTATTAGGTATGGGTATTTTTTTTATTAAAAGAAAAATAAGTAACGTCAGGTGCCTGTGAAATTGTCAACCAGAAACTCAAGCATCTTTTTAAAATATACTGTAGAGAGCTTGTACAATCTATAATCAGATTAAGTTTACAAACGACCAATGACCGAGTTTCATTTTTGTACGATTAGCTTCACCAAATAGTATTCGAAATCAAAAGCAGTAGAGTTACTATCTTGCCATAGAGTTGATGGACTGGATTACTTTCAGTCTGCTAAGACATAATTGCTTGTTAAGCATAAAATCCAAATTCTAAGTTTGTTCCCCTTAGGGATAATCAATTGTTGAGGCCAGTCTCGATCGAGAATTTGAACCCGTTTGCATAATACATGTAATTAATTGTTATACAAAGGTAGGATTTCAACACTTTTCCGCTGTCAGTTGAACTGTCTACGAGTCCTCCAATGCACTCGAAGTAAGTTACGGATTTGAGGTCTTGCAATTGATATGCCATTGTCTTGTACTTCTTTTTCCTTTTGGAGTAATTTGCTTTAAAATCAAAGTTATGTTTAATGAGTTTATAGTTCCTTAATGTTACAGTGGGTGGCATGATACAGTTACAATAACTTTCATCTGTTTTAATTTAAATTGAAAAAAAAAAAGAAAAACAACGGATGTTTGTTTTAAGGCAACATTGTAAGACTTGTTTGATTGATGAACAAAGTCACGTTTTGTCTTAATTTTGGGATAAGTTAGGTAAATTAAGTGTTCCTTCTACCGCTGTGGAGATTGAATCCATTGATTTTCTGTATGTAGATCATTAGGAGTCGTGTTGCTCTGAGAGCTAATTACACGAAGTCTGTGTTTAACCGCCTGGACAACCTGTACAAAGACTTCAGTCTACAGGAAGCCTACACAATAATAGCTGAATTAACAAAACAAATTACATAAACCATTCACAGCACCGTCTCATGGCGATGAACTGAAGCTTCTAGGATCGGCTCATGTTTTGTTTCTTGAACTGTTGCTTACAATGGACTTTGAAATGAAAACGATGTAAACGTAATAAATGAAAACGTAATATTTTTTTTTAATTAATACATAATTTATTGCTTTTTATTGTCTAACGTTACCTTTTAACATTTTTATTCTCAATTTGACCATTTTGAAATATGTTTCTTCTAGTGATGACGAAATTTAAATATTCCGTTTTCTAACTAGTTTGGATCCAGGTTTTTATAAATGACAGAGTTGATTCATTGAACATAATCAGATTTAAATAAGTATTCAAAATTTAAAGTTATCAACAGTAACTTCAATAGGATGGAAATAGAATTAGAATATTGGTAAAATTAAAAAAATTCGAGAAATAAAATTACTGGTCAAATGTAGCCCCCGGAAATCGTTTATCGACAATGTTAAATCAATTCACAACACTGTAATGTGATTCGTCTGCTTTAACCTAAAAAAAAAAAAGCAAACAAAACAAAACTATACAGAATTTGATTCATCTGTTTG